GGCAGCCTCAGTAAACGCGAGCGCGTCGCTGCCTTGTACCAGCGCCTTTCAGAGCTGCTGTTCCCAGTCCTGGGGACCGATTTCCCAACCCGGCACGACTCCTCCTTCCTCAGAGAGCTGCTCGTTCAGCGAATAGCTTGCCGCTTTCTAAAACCTTCCTAAACCCACAAAAAAGCCTCGGATGACCCAGCTGCAGGCAAAGGCCCGAAAGCGGCCTTGGAAGCTGCCCGCCCGAGGAAGGGTAATCCTCCCTCGGGTGAAAAACTGGAGGCAGTCCAGGTTGCTGCGGGGGCAGCGCGATGCACTCGACCCACCGAGGCGCTACAATCCCACGCGTGCTGGGGAAAAGCGTACCTAACGCCGCACACTTGGCCTGCTGACCAAGCACTGAAACGCTCCCAAGTATCAAAAACGCTCCGGAGGCAGAGAAACTCAAAACGTAGGCGCTGCGAAGGCACGTACCCTTTTTAAGCTGTAGCCTGCGTAAAATATAATCGGAGGAAGCAAAATGTTGAAAAACACCTCAGGATCAAAAGTCACCTGTGGGGGGAGGAAAAAAAAAAAAAGGCAATAAAATGCATTAAGATTCTGCAAGACAAAGCACAAATAAGAATGACATAAAATATAGAGAATAGCCCCTGCACGAGCACCAGATGAAATGGGGTTGGGGGAACGCTGGCAGAAAACGCAGCCGGCATCTTTTGGGGACACGGGCCAGAGCCTAAACAGCTTAAATGAATACCAGCTGACGCTACAGTTTAATTATGCCGAGCGTTCAACTTGCAATTCTGAGCCGAAGCAAACCGAAAAAAAAAAAAAACCCCCAAAAAAAACATCGGAGCAAAAGAAAACCAAAAAAAAAAAAAAACCCCAAAACAGACAAACAACAATCTCAGCCTAGCGGAGAGAGGACGGGGCCCGCACGCCGGCTCCCTTACCTTCCTCAGCATTTCGTTATCCTGGACGTTGTTGAGCTCCTGGGCACTGATTTCCCCCTTCAGGGTGTACTCGTAGTACTTGCCGCTGACGTTCACCAGCAGCGTGGCGGGGCTGCTCTGCACCTGGCAGCTCAGCGTCACGTTGTTGACGTCGCTGGGGACGTGGATGCCGTAGCGCAGGACCACGCCGACCAGGACCCCTGGGCGAGAGGCAGGCGCGTCAGCGAGAC